ATATATATATATTTTGTAAAAGAATATGTAGCAAGGTGGGCATGAGGGTGGGGGCGAGGCAAGGAGTTACATACTTGAACCCATATCCGAACCCGATTTCTCAAGTTAGGGAAAACTCATACCTAATCAAGGCAGGTTTTCCTCGTCAAAATCGGGTTGGAGTCAAATAGGTACCCACAGGTGTGAGTTTAGTTGTCATGCTTAACCCTATCGTTCCACAACTTGAACTTGTCAAATAAAATTTAAGGAAATACACCTAGACTTTGTGAGAAAAATCGTCAATAAAATTAACAAGATATTTAGAACCTCCCCCATGATGAATTTTTAGTAGGCCCTTAAACATCAATGCACATAATCTAGAATCCCCTTGGTTATGTGTTTTGCAGCTTTGAAACAAACTCTAGATTGTTTCCTAAGCACACAATACTTGCATAAATCTAGCTTGCAGGTCTAAATTTCCTTCAATAGACCTCTCTTATGATGTTTTCCCATCATGCGCTCTCTACAATGATTAAAACAAATATGTAATATTTTATGGCATCATCTAACTCAATAAAAGGAACTCATCCTATAATTATACTCCCCTATGATATGTAAATATTGTTTGTAGTTTGTTGTCTTTTCATCACAATCAAGGCTACCTTGTACATTCTAATGGCATCTCAATCTCCATCTATCTTATAGCTGAAACCATTTTCCTTTAAGGTATTAAGTGATATGAAATTCTTCCTTAAGTTAAGGATGTTCTTTACATCACACAACATCTCCATGCCATCATCATCCATAACAATTTTAACTTGTCATGTGCTAATGATAGCATAGATTTATCATTGTCCAAATAAACATAATCGAGATTGTTTGACATGTATGTCATGAACTTCTCCCTGTTTTTCATCATGTGATAAAAGCATCTAGAATCAAGGATCCAAACATATCTATACTAATTGCATGAAACAGAAATAACATCTCCCTAACTATAGTAATTTGAGTCATCAGCCACTACCAAATTTATAGAACAAAAAGATCATTCACCAAAATTCTTCTTGTTTGGATAATCACTCTTGTAATGTCCCTTCTAATTTCACTTCTAATTTCACATGTAAGATCTTTCATCTCCTAGAATTTTATTTCCTCCTCATAGAAATTGTCTTTTCGTTCATCCTCCCACATTTTTTATCCCCTTGACATACAGACCCTAACCTTAAGAACCCTTCTCTCTTTTTTGTTTCCTTTAACTATAAGATATAAGTGAAACAATTATCTCTTCTTAATTAATTATTTATTTCTTATATATAAGGATAGTCACAAAGTTTTCCTAACAACTTAGCAAAAAACATGATAGGATCATTGCCTTATCCGCATTGTCAATCATCGCATTGAATCTTAGTAAAACACTGATTATTTGATTCAAGGTATTGATGTGTTGCGGCAAATCAACCCCTTCTTGCCTCTTCAGCCCATATAGCCTTTTTCTTGGCATACAACTTATTCATTAGGTCCAACTGCTTCCATACCTCCCTTGGAGATGTTAGGTCCATAACATTATATAACACCTCATTTGTCAAACAGAGTAGTATGGTTCTTACATCACTTTCTTGTAACTCCCCCCAATCCAATCGATACATGTTGTCAAGTTTCTTCTAGTGCACCGCCTTTAAAAAGCCTTCACTACAAGAAAAATGCAAATTATCGATGGATATAAATTAGTTGGAAAATTTATATTTTCGATGGATTTTACCGATGGAAAAAAATTTGTAGGAAAAGTTATATTACCGACGAATAATTTTTTACGGATACAAATCTGTCAAAAAAATTATATTTTCGACGGATACAAATTTGTCGAAAAATTTATATTTTTAATGGATATACCCGTTAATAATTTCTGGTAGATATATCTGTCGATAATTTTTGACAAATATAAATGTTGAAAAATTTATATTTTCAATGAAAAAAATTTCGTATGAAAAGTTATACTATCGATGAAATATTTTCAACGAATTTATATTTGTCGAAAATGTAAAAAAAAATTACGAAATTTTTTTACAGATGCTTAAGTCAAAAATTTTCAACAGAATGTTATTAACGAATAAATGCTTAATAATCTATCAAAAATTGCATTCATCAGAAATGTTTATATACCTTTCGATAACAATAAAGATGATTTTTAATTTTATATCTTAGATTTAAGATAAATAAATATATTAAGTTAATTAATAATTTATTTAAAATGTTAAAATTTAATTTATAAGTATGTAATTAATAAATATTTATAATTTTATAAATTATATTGTCATTATAAAATATAAAAGTAATATTTTAAAATATATAAATTATTATTTAAACCTTTAAATTTATGATTCGTTTTAGCAACATTAGATTTAAACGTTAAAAAAATCTTCAAAAGTTGCTTCATCTATCTTCTTTGTTGATCTTCAAGATTACCATTGATGCATTTAATGCAATAATTAAATACTTATCAATGAGCATTAAGATTTTTAGGCAAGCGCACCAAGTCTTTGTAATATAGTGAAATAAAGTTGTCAAACCTCAAGGACTTGTGAGATAAATATGACTTCCTTTATACTAGTTAATACTTGTTGAAATAAAATTTGTAGTGGTTTTGGTCATCAACTTTGCATAAAATAGAAATAGTTCTAATGCTAGAGATCACTTAAATCACTTTGAAATAGAGAGAAATGTCAATATATATAGCTTTTGGGATTAAATTTCATCGATCTAACTCTTATGCATTCCTAATTTTCCTTACTTTTAGATTTTATTATCAAATACCATTGAGTTTGATAAATTCATTCTAAATCAATTCCTTGATAATTAGAAATTCTAAAGTGTCTAGCTTAATAAATGATTTCTCACTTTAATAATTTGGATACCTTACATTAAGAGTAAGAATTATTTCAACTAATAGTTCCAAATATATTCATAGCCTTTGAAACTATTAGGTGATTTCATTCACCACTAGATTCAGAAAACATTTTCTAACCGAAATCTAAATCCAAGATAAAATATAATTGATCAGTTTATCTCAACATTAAGAATAGAATCAAAATCATTGATACTAAATAAAAGATCATTAGATGTATATGAATCAAAAGGAATACATAAAAGTTTGATGATTACACTCAATCTCAACTACAATAGAGATCAGCTCCTCATGGTGGAGGAAATCAATCTAGAAAACATAAAGAAGAAGTGTAGAAGAAGAGAAAGAATCCCTAGAACCCTGTTCCCAGCTGGCTCTTGGACTTTTTGCTCTATGTCTTAGC